GGTGTTTGAGCCTTCGCTTAAACCACATTTGAGATGTGTTTATTATCTGCCGACTGCGCGGACTGCAGCGTACTGTGACTATGAATGAAACCAAGTTCTTTGTATATATTTAATTTTTACAATACTCCCTTTTAATGAAATGTGTTACCTTAAATTAGGTTTACAATAACGGCGTGAAAGACTTGGCCAACTTGTTTTTACTGCACGGGTTAGCCTTAGCTATTTCTTTAAAATAATGGTTGAAAAATGTATTCTTAGATCTCCAGTTTCCTCTTTGCAGCACTTCATCTATATTACTGCTATTTGTGATCCAGAGGTCCGTTGCTACTGCAGCCCTAAAGCTTCCCGCGGACGCAGAAATTCCTGCCTCTTTGAAGAGGGTTCTTATCCACCCTGCAATGACCGAACGTGATGCGCATTTCGCCGAACCCCTTGTAGTAATAAACAAATTATCTACATTTTTTCTGCGGTCTGCCGACAGAGCAATTAGTGTTCTCACCCAGAAAACTAAATCAAGCATTAAATCTTCATTTTCAGTTTCCTTTTGAAGCAGCCAGCCAGACTGCTGATAGAATGATGAGTCTGTCTTAGAACCGAACTTAGGCCAAAAGATAAGGGAGTCCCCCTTGTCCTCAAAAGCTCCGTCATTTATAGTCAATAGTGTTAAGTCATGTACTCTTCTACCAGATGCCAGTAGCAATAGGATGGAAGTGTGTCTAGACACGGCAAATATACTATTTTTATTAACTTCATAAGTGCGTAAATAATTAATCAAATCTTCTATTTCCCAGGTAATTGGCTTCTTAGTAGACGGATTAGCGGCGAATATGCCTCTTAGAACTCTTTTTATTAGCGGATGAGATGAGAGTTCTTCCGAGCGAAGAGGGTTTGAAAAATTTACAACCACAGACCTGTTAAGTGCTATCGATTTTGGAGCTAGTTGTATAGTCTCGTAAAGATGGCACAGGTACTTCGCCACTGAGTGTGCCTCTGGATTATCCACCAAAACTTTATTTTTGCGAGCCCAGTTACACCATCTTGACCATGCCTGCCGGTAGGTCTTAAGTGTCGACTCTCTCCATGATGATTCCAGAAGCTTTACCTCTGCGCTACTCCAACCTTCTATAAGCTTTTCCCAGCCCGAACCTTCCAAACCGCCAACTTTAAGTTGTCTACACCCGGTGGAGGCCGATTTGTCTGCAGGTCGATCAAATTCTCTGTTAGGTTTGGTATGTGAAAAGGCTTGTCCACTACTATTCGTCGAAGAGCAGGAATCCAGAAAGCTTTGTCCCATACTGGCGCCACAAGTAGATAACAGCCCTTTGACTTTTGCAAGTGCTGAAGTACCCGTGGAATGAGCGCCGGTGGAGGAAAAATCCAACCTAGCTTGCTTTTCCACCGCCTGCTGAAAGCGTCGGTAAATTGGCTTTGGGGATCCGTCGCATCCTCGCTTACATATGCATCCACAACCGCAGATCTTTTTGACGCAAAGAGATCTATCTCCGGTGTGCCGAAAAGTTGAAAGATCATTGATAAGCATTCTTTTCTGAGGTGCCATTCTGGAAGAGCTTTTGCCCTCGATAAACCATCCGCTATTCCGTTGTATTGGCCTGGAATGTGACGGGCAATCAGAAAACAGTTTTTCCTCTCGCACAGGAGGTGAATTTTCCTCGAAATTTCTAGAAGACTCATTGACTTGGTGCCCCCTTGCTTCATGATGTATGCTACGCTCGTTCGATTGTCTGTTTGCAGCATCACTGTTTTCCCAAATATCATGGAGCCCGAACGTTGTAGTACCTCGTATACAGTCCATAGCTCCTTCATGTTGCTGTGCCACTTTTGTTGAGGTCGAGTCCAATTGCCCCATAAGTGATGACTGTTCACAACTGCACCCCAACCTGTGTCTGCAGCGTCTGTTGTGATAAAAACGGAAGGATCTGGGTAGTGTATCGACGTCGACCGGTGAGCGTTCTCTAACCACCATGTCAATTCCCTCCGCGCGGCTTCTGGTATGACTGCTTTCCGATGCGGATTTTTTTGAGGTAGTCGACGTAACGATATTTGCAAAGCCCGGCAGTGAAGACGACCGAGAGGTACAACAAAAGACGCAAAATTCAGTTTTCCCAGAATAATCTTGGCATCTTTCCAGCTCCATTGACTTTTCTCTAAGAGATTCAGCAACGAGCTTTTCAGTTGCGCCACCTTTGCCGATGAAAGACGCTTTGTGTTTTTTATTGTATTCCAAGTTACTCCCAAATACTCCAATTCTGTTGTTGCGACCACAGACGATTTTTCTTGGTTTATTTGCCATCCTAAGTCGTTTAGAAATTTTTTCGCAAAATGAGCTTGTTGAATCAGAGTTTGAGAGTCCTGATGGATGAACAAAGAGTCGTCTAAGTAGACTAGAACTCGAAGACCTTTTTGTCTCAATTGATGTGCGACCCAGTTTGTTGTTTTTGCAAAAGCTGAGGGTGCGCTTGCTAGGCCAAAAGGTAGGCATGTCATTTCGTATGTTGTGCCTTGATACGTCATCGACAGATAACGCCGATGTTTCTTGTATATCGGTATATGGAAATAAGCTTGTGATATATCCACCTTCAGCATAAAATCCCCGCTATGCAGATGGGAAGGGATCTTCTGGATGTTTATCAAATGAAATTTCGGGATAATTATATACTCGTTTAGCCGCTTTAAGTTGAAAATAGGTCGGTTTGTTTTCTTTGTTAAAAACATGGTGGAAAGGAAACCTGTCCGTTGAGTGCTTGGTTGTATGGCTTTTGAGTCCAATAATTTCTGTATTTCTACCGTCATTTCCGGGGACTCTTTCGTTTGAAATCTTATTGTATTTGGAATTGAAAATCTTGTTAGTGGAGGTTTTCTGCTGAAAGGGATCCTGTATCCTTTTATAATATTCAGTAGAGCTTGCGGTGCCTCCTCCCAAAATTTTGCGAAGTCTGCTAGGCGGCCCGCTAGAAAGGAGTCACTTCTTCTCTCCCCCCCCATTATTTTTACGCTTGAAGTTTGAGTTGGAGTTTTCCGCCTTCTTTCCACCAAATTTTTCTTTGTATTTACCACTTCTGGCCGGGTTAGAGTAATTTTGGGTTTTGTTTCTATCCCTTCCAAACCGGCGTTCGCGAACTTGAGATCTCCGAAAGGAACTATTGATTCGAACTTGCTTCTGTTTCTTAATTTCAGGAAAAAATTGTTGCATCCCTCCATGCTCTTTTATTGCTTCAGAGAAACGTCTTTCTTCGAATAAATGCGTATCAGATGGTGGAATGTCATTAAAAACCTGCGCGAATGTCTTGTTTCGGGGTGAGTAAATTTCTCTTCTCTCTTGCAGGACCTCTGCTCGTCGGCCGCATACATATTGCAAAAGGGAGTCTGAGATTCTTTTAAAATTCGAATCCGTGGCAACAAATTCTTTCCCAACTAATTTTTTCGCTTCCTCTGGAAGATTATTTAGCAGATTTTGAAACGCAATACGCTGCTGAATTAGCCCATTTGATACGGCCGCTAGTGTCAAATCAAATCTTTCTAAAAGTGACACTGACTTCCATTTTGGCGTTATTTCTGCCAAAAGACTATTAACTTTCAAGGAGCTAAAAACCGGAAATGCCTGAAACTGTTTTTGAGATTCCGCGTATCGGATGTTATGCCAACTATCTTGGCATAGTCGCTGACATTCTACTCCGTACTTAACAGCTATCGGATCTGCTTTCGCAATTCGCGGTTCTTGCTCAGACGTTGATGGAGCGAAATCGAACTCTACGCGGTCATCAAAACCTTCCGTGTTACTATCTTGAGGGGTGAGCAGATTTAGGTGCCCTTCCGGCTCCATAGCGACTCGGGTGTGCTTGCCCCCACTACTTAACCTCTCTGAAAGAAATTCTGATTCTTCATCTGTAGCGCTGTCGGATGGCGGATCCAAATAGTCCCCGTAGCGTACTGGACTTTGTTGAGAATTGCGCTGATTATTTAAAATTTTCTTAATGTTTTCTCCGTGGTCAGATTGAATACTTATGAGTTTGTTAAACAACAACATTTGCTGGTTGAGCACACTTGCCAGCAGCTGGTTATCGCTACAAACTTTTGATGTGGAACTCTTCGATCCCGGAGAGTTACGAGAAGCTGGAGAACATTCGGAACCACCAGACGTGAGCTCGGAACACCGATCACGATAAGAGTCGGAGCGATGACGCTTCGCCTCCTCTGTACCTAACGTATTTGCCTCCCCCCCCTCTTCCTCGAAAGGGGCCTTTGGCTACCAAGCAAATCGGAAGCAGTGTCTGTACCTTTGGTTACCCTCAGTCTGAGGGATTTTACCGTGTTCATAAACACGTCGTAAGAATGGGCATGCACTTTCTGCATGATACTGTGTGGTGAATACAACAGAGCCCTTCCCAAGGGCCATCTAAGTATAACGTTACGAATATTTGTAAATGCCCGATCTGAAAGTACATCAGCCTGCTGAAAAGCCCTTGCTATATCCACCATTGGAATAGCAAATCTTATTTTAGATTCGACCTCTTTGTCTATGTGCTCGCCATTCAACAACTCTGTAAACGAGTAGTTAAGAACTTTCCACTCTCTCCAGCCCTCGGGGTAGTAGTGATCTAAAGTAGAAACGATCGATTTAAATGCATGCTCGTTTTCCATCTGATGTGGCAGACGTGCCAGTTCATCCATTGTAACTAATTCCGGTGTACTCATCTGTAAGTATGCACAACACGTTTAGTTACTCAAATGCCATCAAAGTGATGTGCTCATCTTGTCGAAGAACGCTCCGAATAGGAGGCATGTTTCAACTCGTCGCTGGACCAAGGGTACCGAGCGGTAATATGCCGGCGCAAGGCTTTGAGCGCCAAGCGGGCTTCACATGTTCATAAGAACAAAAACTTACCTTATTTTATTCCGTGCTATGTTGTTACCCAAGTGAGCGTTGAAAGCGTACTGATATAAGAAGGTCACTTGCCGCCCACGCTGCCCGTCCTGTCAAACAAAGACAAACACAGGGTTGTTACAACAACGCCTAGACAACTACCGCAGTCATGCACCAGGGTGCAGGGTTGCTCAGTGAACATTGAAAGGGGTAATCTCAAATGTGGTTTAAGCGAAGGCTCAAACACCTAAATACATACATATTGCTACATACGCACATTGAACATAAGAATACACATGTACATATGCACATACATACTAGAACATAGCAATGAGGGACCAGCAGCAACGAATGAGTTGATAAGAAAGATAACAAAAAGCTGACCTAGCGGATATCCTTAACCCTTGGGTGAACATCATGGCATGCGATTTAGTGAATCTTAACATCCTCCCCCGTTGAAGGTTTCAAACCTTCAACACTGTCAATAGGTAGGAGTGCGATCTTGTTTACGGCTCGCTTTACGATAATACCATTACCCCTTGCTGAATATTTGGTACACTTGCACGCCACTTGTTTCGCTCTTGCAGTATCGTGAGGTAATATGTGCTCCATTTTCTCCAAAATGTTTGCTGCATAGAGGACAAACGCTGCCATCGATCTAGTCGACTAATATCCAGATGCGTAACGTCTGGCTCTGCAAAACTGGTGAATGGCCCTCCAATTAAGAAATGGGCTGGTGTCAGTACTTCCAAATCATCAGGATTTTCTGAAATTGGACAGAGCGGTCGTGAATTAATTATGGCGCATACCTGGCAAACCAGAGTACGTAACTCTTCGAATGTGAGCGTTGAGAGTCCAACAACTCGATGAAAATGATTTTTTGCAGCCTTCACCGCAGCTTCCCATAGACCTCCAAAATGGGGCAATCGCGGGGAAATAAATCGCCATTCAATGCCATCATCAACACATTGTCTTTGAACAGCTTGAATGTGAGGGGTAGACCAAAATAAGTTTTTTAGCTCAGCTAGCTCATTTCTAGGCCCAATAAAGTTTGTGGCATTATCTGACCAAATTACGCTCGGCCTTCCACGCGTTGAGATGAATCTCTTGAGAGAAGCTATAAAAGATGCTGTAGATAAGTCACATACCAATTCCAAGTGGGTGGCCTTTGTTGTAAAGCAAATAAAAACACAAACGTAGCACTTGATTGGACCTCTGTTTCGTACTTCGGATTTGTAATAGAAAGGCCCGCAGAAGTCGATGCCTGTTGTAGAAAATGTTTTTCCCGGCAGTACTCTGTGCTGAGACAAATCACCCATGATGGGTTCGACGATTTTGGGTTTAAGACGAAAGCACTTTAAACATTTATTTACGACACTGCTAACTGTCTTTCGCCCACCAATTGGCCAAAATTGCAATCGTATTGAAGCTATTAAACTTTGCGGTCCAGCGTGCATGAATTTTTCATGATAGTATTGAATTATTGCAATTGCAATCGGATGTCGCTCTGGCAAAATTATCGGGTGACGTGCATCATAATCTAGCATAGCATTTTCTAGCCGACCACCAACCCTTATGAGCCCAAATTCGTCCATGAACGGATTAAGTGAATACATTGTACTAGATGATTCAAGTTGTTCCAACCTTTAATGCCTTATATTCCTTGGGGAAATATTTCTGTTGAATGAGGCGCAATAAAAGTTGAGTTCCACCTTTGATATCTTGAGGCGTGAGCGCGCCTGATGGTCTATGCCCTTTGGGATCTTTTCTTAACCCAAATCTTGAGACATAAGCAAATACTCGCTGCATCGTGCTGAATGTATTTAAATACCTGCAGTTGAGTGAAATGTCTTCAAGGTGCGTTGTTGCGGCTAAAGCGATGCGTCGTCGTTCTGGTAACTCGGTGAGAAAGCCAGGCGCTGTAGGCCAACCTGTTTGATTACCGAGTAGAAAAGAGGGGCCGTTCTTCCAGAGCGTTGAGTTAAGAAGCTGCTTCGGTGATGCTCCTCGCGACAAGACGTCAGCTGGATTCATAGCGATCGGGACATGAAGCCAAACCATTCCGTGACTTAGTGTTTGTATACGGCTTACCCTGTTTGAAACAAATATGTTAAAGTTCGAAGATTCTTCTCGTAGCCACGATAAAACTACGGTTGAATCCGACCAACAATGGATGGCACAGTTAAATTCTTGTGCCTGCTTGACCGCTTCTAATAACTCTGCTAATAACAATGCCGCGCACAACTCAAGCTTCGGCACAGAGAGTCTTAAGTGGCGCTACTCGAGATTTTGCGCACAACAAGTGAGTCTTAACTACGTCATTATGCTGGGCTCGTGCATACACGCATGCACCATAAGCGGCTAAACTAGCATAGCAAAATCCATGGAGCTCTAAATAAGAATTTGGAATTAATACAAATCGCGGAAACTGGAAGTTAGATACCAATTCCAGTTCAGCACAGAATTGAGTCCAAACTGTATGTAAGTGCTGTGGTAAACTTTCATCCCAATGTATATGTTGTTTCCACATGGTTTGAATGAAGATTTTTGCCTGAGTTATAACTGGAGCGATGAGTCCTAATGGATCGTAAAATCCAGAAATTATGGACAATGCGATACGCTTAGTTACGTGATTGTTATTTCTCAGGCGAGCGAGTGCGAACGAAAATATGAAGTTGTCTGTTTTAGGATCCCAGACTAAGCCAAGAGTTTTTGTAACATGCGTACCATCGTGAAACTGCAAAAGTGGCTCACAATCAGAATCAGGTACTGCGACGAGAGCTTCAGGAGCATCAGAGCACCATTTTCGAAGTAGAAAATTACCTCTCCGCAGCAACTGTGCTGTCTGACGCTGAATTTCCACGACTTCTTCCACGGAGTCTACACCAGTGATGAGGTCGTCGACATAAAAGTTTCTACGCCCGATAAGCAAGCCAAGAGGAAAATCTGCTTCTTCATCTATTGCCAATTGATGCATGGGTCGAGTCGCTAGAAATGCAGCAGGCCTGGTACCATACGTGACTGTGTCTAGCGTGTATACCTTTAGATCTCCTTCAGGGTCATCCCGCCACAAAATACATTGTAAGTACTTGTCAGGCTCCAAAACTCGTACGCAGCGATACATCTTACAGATGTCACCCGTCAAAGGCGAAAACCCAAAAGTGTAAAGAAGAGCTTTGGCTGAATCGTTGGACCAACCATAAGCACGTCATTTAAAGAATAACCAGATGTTGATTTTGCGGAGCCATCCAACACAACTCTCAACTTTGTTGTTGTGCTATCCGTCTTGTGGATACAATGATGGGGCAGGAAGAATGCACGAGTTGTTGGCTCCAAGTTCGCAGGAGACATGTGCTTGAGTTCGGCGTATTCCTTCATGAAGGACGAATACTGTTTTTTAACGTCTTGTTTGTGCTGCAGCCCTCGTTCCAAACTCATGAAGCGCTGTTTGGCTAGTAAGTATGAATCACCAAGAGCTTGGACGTTTTGCTTTAATGGAAGCCGCACAGCATATTCCCCAGAATCGAGTCGAATATGATTTTGTTGGAAATGAAGCTCGCGATCAATTTCCTCTTGCATTTGTGTGGGTGGAGCTGAGCAGGCTTCAACTTCCCAAAACTGCTTAATGAGATCGTCTAAACCGGCTTCTTCCTCCTCTAAGTCTGAGCGAACTGCAACCAAGGAGGATGACTTATGGAAATGAAGTCCTCCACCAGAAGCGACCCATCCTAATCTGGTTTTTTTTAGTATAGGTAAGTTATTGGCCAACCTAATTTGGCCGATACACATTAGATCAAAAAATAACGATGCTCCCAACAAGACGTCAATACGTTGCGACTTGAAAAAGAGTGGGTCGGCAAGCTTAATATTATTCGGAATGTTCCATGAGTCTGTGTTGAGATCGAAATTGTGCAGAGGATCGGTGATCGTGTTGGTGACGATGGCTTCAAACGAGAGAACGCAATCATCGCTGTGTGATTTTGCGATGATATCAACAGCCCTTTCGGCTATGAAATTAGATTCCCCAACCCCAGAGATTGATGTGCTTACCTTTTTGTCTCCAGACTCAATTGATTTGCAAGGCGCCCGGTAACAAAGTTCACCTGAGAACCTGAGTCTAGAAGTGCTCGACATGGGATGTAACAACCCGTGCGATTTTTGACGAGGATGATTACACTTGCCAGTAGCACGAAATTTTCAGAAGATGCAGCAGTTGCTACTTGTTGTGTTCTTGTCGACACTGATTGAGTGCTCGCCACATCTGTGTTGTTGCGATGGCTTCCTGATGCGGACTGCTCAGGCACAGGCATGTGGAGCAGCGAATGGTGCTTCGAAAAGCACTACCGACAATGACCTGACTTACACTTGTTTAACGTGTGGCCCCGACGTAGGCAATTCAGGCACAATTGTAGACGTTTTGCTTCCTTGTACCGTGAAGCAGGGTATAACTTTCCGAATTGGGTACAGTTGTATATCAAATACCCAACAGTGCCACAAAATAAGCATGAGCTTGACGAAACTACGAGTGAATGGCGGAAGATTTCTTTAATATGCGATTAGAAATTAAGCATTTTATTGCCGAAGCGGTTCTTGAGAAGATCCAGTGCTTTATCGTAGTTTGTCTCGCTTGGCTCCAAGGAACGGATCGTATCAAGCGCAGCACCCCTTAAGTTCGCAAGTAAGTGTTGGAACTTTTCTATTTTGCTTAACTCAGTGCAGTTGTTGATCACAGAGTTGAACATCGCGATGAAATCTGGCCAATCGGTGTAAGCACCATCAAAACGAGGAATTTTCAACTCGGGAATCCTGTTGCGTTGCGAGATGATAAGGGAAGGAGATGCATCGTCGATTGCGAATGGCCGTTCTGTTGATGAGTGGTAATTGCAGGCTTTACGCTGATTGAGCTCACGTGTTAACTTCCCCTTGACGTCCATGTGCACCTTTGCGAACGCCCAGCTAACTTCATTAGCCAGTTCATTGGGTTCTTCGGCCTCAAGACTGTACTGAGCGCCATCAAAGCTGACTCAAAGGCGCTCAACCCACTCCAAATGCATCGATATACCTATCTCGTCTATGTTTTTTAGCGAGTCTGCTGATAACTGCTGGTTGATGTCCTTCAGTTGCTTCAAAAGGGAAACGGTCCTCTTTTTGTTGAGCGATTCCGGCCCAACTTGGCCATCCTCAGAAGCTGCATCTTCAGAAGGCATGCTGAATTGATTATTCAAATTAAATCAAGCTGAATGGATGAAATTAATATTATTCGACGAGTTGAACGTGTATTATCACGTCGGGGTCACCAATGATTTGAGATGGCAAGCCTTTTTGCCGCCTTGTAGAGACTAAGCGAAGAGCAACTATATGCCTTGACTTCAATATGAACAGTAAACATTATTTCTAAAAACAGTAATTCATTTGTCTCTTAAACCTTCTTACATTTGTCATACATATATACATATTTGCTAACGTTTCTTATTTTGCCGCAGATCGGTTCACTTTGTAGGTATATAAATCCATATGTACATTTTAACATCTCTTATACTTATTTGCAAATACATACATATTGCTACTTACGCACATGGAACATAAGAATACATATGTACATATGCACATACATACTAGAACATAGCAATGAGGGACCAGCAGCAACGAATGAGCTGATAAGAAAGATAACACAGAGCTGACCTTAACCCTTGGGTGAACATCATGGCATGCGATTTAGTGCATCTTAACAATGATAATAAAAACTTTGCGCTTTTGTTTTGGAAAAATTGGCTTTTTCTGGTGGCCTGATGGCTGATGCTCAGTTCTCGCAAAAGTACACATACATACATACACGCATTTTTACTTGAAAATAAGTGTGTAGTGGTTAATATGTATACGTTGCCATCTCCGTACAGCTCACTTTATTTATTTATTTATTACAGTCATTTGACCTATATACATTACAATTATGTATATACATTTGAATTATGTATTGCAATATATAATAAAGGTAAAGTTAAAATTAACAAGTGCTACTTTGGGCTGAGTAGGCAATTGAGAAGTAAAGTCCTCTCTCGTCGTACAAAGATCACACTCTATAAGTCACTCATCATGCCTGTGCTGGTGTATGGCGCGGAGGCATGGACAATGAAAGCATCT